TGAGTGTGGCTGTGAAAGGTCCTGGGGAGGAGGGGCAGCAGCCACCACACACCAGAAAGCTAGACGGTCAGTCAGCCCGGGCGTAGGCAAATGTGTCACCTCTTTCAAAAAACTGATGGTCTTTCCTGGCCAGCGTGGCTCAGTGGTTGAGTTTCAACCTATGAACCAGGAGATCACGGTTCAACTCCCGGTCAGGGCATATGCCCGGGTTGCGGGCTTGATCGCCAGCGTGGGGCATGCAGGAGGCAGCCGATCAATGATTCTCTCATTCTCTCTCATCATTGATGTTTCTCTCTCTCTCTCTACTGATGGTATTAACTACCTTTTCTAAAAAGGCCAGAAAGAAATATGGCAAATGACTAGTAGTGGTTTTCTTTATGTAGAAGGAATATGGGATGCTTTCTCCCCTCCACTTTTCTAATTTCCAGATCTTCCACAATGAGTATGGAGTCTGTTCTGTTAGAGGAGGAACACACCAAATTCAGAAAAAACGAAGGCAGGATGCTGGCCTAGGCTGGGAGTGGGTTGAGTGCCCCCCTCCATCAGCTCCCTTGCTGTTGTCCCCCGTCCCCCCACATGCCCATCCCCCTGCCCAGAGCATGCGCCCAACCAATTCCTTCCAGGACTTTGTCCAGAAGGCAGATTCCACGTTGCCACCTCTGTCCCTCTGCTCAGCTCATGCAGCAAGAGACCCCAGGGTAGACCTGGTGCAGCTCCCACTTAGAAAGTGAGGGAGGGGGGAGAGTGGCCAGATAAATACCTTCCGGGCACCCAGGGGAGGCGAGGGCACCCAGGGGACAGCCCGGGAGGTTTGCTTTGGCAGCTTGCCCCACCCGGGCCTAGCACAGCCTTGCTCAGATCTCGGTGTTCCAGGATGGGTGTCTGGAAGGAGCTGCGAGAAGGGCAGGGAAGGACGGACAGGATGCTTGCTCCCTTGCTCGGCCTGTGGGTGCCTGCGTCGCCACCTGGTCTGGGGCAAGTCCCATGGCCCCTCCAGGGCTGCCAAGGAACGTGGGGAGTGGAGGATCCAGCTCCCGAACCAACAGCAATAACCAGACTGCCTAGCCTAGAGGAAGTGGCTGTTTTATGTGCCAGTTAAAACAGACCCGCTTTAATGGGCATTTCAAGTTAGCCTCTACAGCAGTGGTTCTCAATCTTCTGGCCCTTTCAATACAGTTCCTCATGTTGTGACCCAACCATAAAATTATTTTCGTTGCTACTTCATAACAGTAATGTTGCTACTGTTATGAATTGTAATGTAAATATCTGATATGCAGGATGGTCTTAGGCGACCCCTGTGAAAGGGTCGTTCGACCGCCAAAGGGGTTGCGACCCACAGGTTGAGAACTGCTGCTCTACAGGGAGGGACAGATCACAAGGAACTGGTCAGAAAACCAGAGCCAGGAATGGCCCTTGGACCCTGCCCTGCGGCCTCCACCATGGCACCTCGGTGCCCGTGTCTCCTGGCTCAAACTCTGGTCTCTCTAGCAGACTGTTTGCCAGGCCTCGCTGTCCCCCTGCTTAGGGGACGCGAGCACAAGCAAGCAGGTGTGTGCCCCTTTAAGCAAGCCTGACCTGTGGAAGTCTGCATTTGCAGATTAGCTAAATTAGGTCTTTGTTTTGCAGAATAACCCAGCTAGCTATAAGATTCTGTCTGGTAAACAGTGAGTTACCCCGAGAGAGTGTAAAGTCTGACTTGCTTAAAAAAGAAAAAAAAAAGAAAGTGTTATCCAAACTTCCCAGCTACCCAAAGTAGCCAAGAACAAGATACCTACAGCCACACGCCTACGCCTAATCACAGAGGGTCGCAGGGCTGGGGGCGGGGAGGGAATTGGGATTTTGAGCATGGTCTGCAGTCTGTTCATGGGCCAAGGAGGGCTGAGCCCTTGCCCTGGGGCCCTACAATCCATGGGATGATAGAAATCTGCCCCTGAGGAGGCCACTACACCTACGCTGTTTGCACAGCTTGGGAGCCCAACCTCCCGGGACAGCCCACCGCCCTTGCCTATAATAGCTACACCGTGGCCCGCATGCACGTGGGCACCCGGGTAGGCCCCACCGCCCCAGCTGAGTTTGCCCAGGCGAGGTTGAGCCCCTTCTCAGCTGAGCCAAGTTAACCATTGACTGGGGCAAGGTGGAGGGGTGGAGGGGGCTGGAGGGAGCAAGTGGGCGTCTGCCTTGTAAGACAAAACCCAGAGCCCCAGCCCTCAGCTTTCTGGGGGCCCCGTGGGACTTCTCCACCCTGGATAAGTCTGGGGGACCCTAGACAGGAACAGGAGGAGGTTCAGACAGCCAGAAATACCCTCCAGGCTGGGGGTAGGCGCTGGTGGGCTCCAGCTCCACAAGAGTTAACAGAGAACCGCTCTGGAGAGAAACTCTCCCCCCAGGAGTTCCAGGCTGGAGGCCTGGAGTGACTCCAAGAAGCCAACGGGACGAGCCCCGAACCCTGCCTGCTCACCCAGGAAGGTGGGAGCCCGCATGCCAGGCTCTCCCTCGCAGCTGGACTTGTCAGCCACGGAGGCAGACAGGGCCCTGGCTGCACCGCGGTTTCCCCGCCGCCCACCCGCGGCCTGTACCTGTGATCCTGGCCACCGCAGCTGGAGGTGAGCCCCTCCCTAGAGAAGGGGCTGAGCGCCGGCGCTGCCCCTGGGGGAGCCTGGGGGAGCCGGGGGAGCCGCCAGGGTGCTGCGCCAGGCACGGCCGGGCCAGGGGAGCTGGGTAGGAGCAGCTGTGCGGCAGGTGCCAGAGAAACAGGTGCGGGAGCGGGGTACCTGCTCACTGTGCCTGCAGGAGTCAAGGTGAACCTGAAACCCAGCCCCTCCCGGCTAAGTAAACAGAAGCAGAGGCCTGCTCGGCCTGATGAATATTCATTACCCCAGAAACCCAATCCCCGGGCCCCAGCACCCACCCAGGGTCCTGCAGGGACCGCCTGGCCAGGAGGAGGAAATCCCCAGGGAAGCCTGGGGTCGGGGGAGGTGGGGAGCCGCTCTGCTCCGTCTCCCCCCTCTCCAGCGCCTGGTTGCTGGCCGCCTGTAGGCAAGGTCACCCCCTGCCCGGTTCATGCCCCGAGGAGGTTCAGACCCCTTTCCGGCCACAACAAAGCCTGGACCTTGCCCCGGGCGCGACCGGGAAAGGGTTAAGGGCCGCTGCTCCCCGCTGGCTGCGGAGGACAAGGGTGCACCCAGCTCCTTTGAACTCCAGAGTCGAAACCAGTCCCTGGTTAAACTGGTTGGCAGACCGGTTCCCAGGCTGTCCGCTCCGCCCCAGGTTCAGGGCTCCACGGGCGGCGCTGGGTGGGCGGCTGCGGCTCCCAGGCCCTAAAGGCCCCTCCTCAAGCTCTCCCAGCGCTGGAGTGGGAAGGGGGCCCTGGGGCCTCCAGACCCACTACAACCGCAAATCTCCTCCCGCCTCCCTTGCTTAGGGGTGGGCTCTGGGGTCGTGAAAGCCCGTGTGTGCGGGAAAGGGCGGTTATGTTTCCGCCATACTTTCATTAGCCTCTCGGAGAGAACCCTGATGGCTCCCACCCCAGGTACCACTTCACTCAGCTTCCCCCAAGCGGCCCGCTGCCCCTCGATGGACCTCGCTGGGTGTTCCAAAGCGCAAAACCTGGGGCCGGCTCTCAGGGAGGAGGCGGGGAGAGAGGAAAAGGCGAGAAGGCAGAGTGTGCACAGGGGTGACGTCCCCACTGGTCCCCTCAGTGGCTCAGTGGTCGACAGCCACAGCTCCTCTTGCAAATCAGCCTGGGCGTGAGCAGCCCTCGGCGGGGCTGCTCTTACATATGGCGGGCGCCTGGGGGAAGGTTCTCTGTGGCCCCCTCAGGCGACCCTTGGTGTTTGCTGTCTCCCTCCCCGCTGTACGTCTCCCTCCCCGCTGTACGCTGTACGGTGAGTGTCCCGCAGCTGCCTGTCCCCGGTGCTGCCCAGCCGAGAGGCTCAGCCCACCGGCCCGCTCCCTTCCTCCATGGGCTGAGTGTGTACGTGCCAGGCTCCGAGGGGGGCACTAGGTAGAGAAAAGACACACAATTGTCCCTTCCCCTGGCTTGCCCCCCACCCTACACTTTAAATCCTCACCAACCCTCAAACCTGCCCCACTGTTGCCACCTCGGCTTCTACTTCCTTCAGTTTCTCACGACCTTGTGAATTCGTCCCCTCCATCCTGAACAGCTGTCCCTAAGCCTCAGGGGGACAGGCCACATGGCACCCGCCTGGCCTGGTCCTCCGAGGATGGGATTCCTGCAGCCTCCTCTCTCCCAACGTCCCCGAATGTGCATGTGCGCACGAGGCCCTTTCTGGGCCTCCCCTCCGGGTGCAGAGGCTGCCTGGGTGGGTGAGCTTAGGGACGCAGGCTGTGCTCTAGGCCAGGAATGGCCCCCCCACCCCCTGTGTAACCCAACACAAACTCCTGTTCATCCCTCAAGACCCAAATTAACTGTTTGCCTCCTACCTCACCAAGAAGCGTCTTTTCCCGAAAGTTTGTTAAACGGCTCCTATTTAACATGATGTGCACGATGGTTGATTGTGCAACTGGAATGAGAAGCAGAAACATTCTTAATGAGAAATTCTTAATGTGGCCCATTGCCTTTGTGCCAACCTCCCTTGGACAGGTAAGTGTGAGAGAAAACTGGTTTCTTTCTTTTTTTAAAAAAAATATTTTTTAAATATATTTTTATTGATTTCAGAGAGAAAGGGAGAGGGAGAGATAGAAATATCAATCATGAGAGAGAATCATTGATTGGCTGCCTCCTGCACGCCCCCCACTGGGGGTTGAGCCCACCACCCCGGGCATGTGCCCTTGACCAGAATTGAACCTGGGACCTTTTGGTTCGCAGGCTGACGCTCTATCCATCGAGCCAAACCGGCCAGGGCTTTAAATATGTTTTTTGTTGATTTCAGAGAGAGAAAGGGAGAAGGAGAGAGAGAGAAACATCAATGAGAGATAAACATCCATCGGCTGCCTCCTGCACGCTCCCTACTGGGGAACAAGTCTATAATCCAGGGAATCAAACAGTGACCTCCTGGTTCATGGGTCCATGCTCCACTGCTGAGCCACCCAGCTGGGTCACTTCTTGTTTCAGCGGCAGCAGGCTTGTTACATTGTCTCCCAGGGTTTGTGTGAATTGAAGATATTATTTTGCAAGGTCCCTTGTGGAAAGAGTACACTGATGTTCCAGGAAGATGCCCACAACTTTCTAAATCTGACACTTTCTCTGAAAACCTGGTCTATTTGAGCGTGGATGTCCAGTCCAGACGACACCAGAAGAGGCTAAAAAGTCATCCTAGCTCAGGTGTTGGGAAGGGACTGGAAGGATGGAGGGATGGGCACTGGCCTGGGGGACTCTAACCAGGGCCGGAGCCATTTCCATCTTCACAGGAAGAGGCTCCTGTGAAGGCACTCATTCCCCCCTCCCCCCGCCCCCCAAAACCCAGGCCTCTCTGATTTCTGGGACACAGGGGGGCAGAGTCCTGTCCTCTCAGCCTCACGCTGGAGAAGGCGCCCCAGGGAGAACCGCAGGGCCCACCTGTGGCCTGCCCTTCGGAGCATGCCACCCGGACCAGCTCCCCAACCCACCCTCCTGGGAGAGCCCAGCCTGGGAAGTCAGGCCCAACCCCTGGCCTTTGGGGGACCTATTTTGGGGAGGAGCAGAGTTGGGAGGGGAGTTTGAGATCAGGCTGTAGACTGTGAATATCCCTTTAACAGCTCGCCCTCACGCAGCCTGCTTTATTGCTTTCGACAATGCCTCACCTTTCAATGCCCCTTTCTGAAACTAGGCTCAAGGGTGATATTCCACAAACAAGCATGCAAAGTGCATGTTCTGGGAAACGTGTCCTTGTTGAGAACAGCAAGTAAAATACACGAAGGGAGTTAGTTCCAAGGACCTCGATGGCCAGCCGGGGCTCGGAGCCCTGTTTCTGTGGTCCTTTTTGTTGCAGGATGGAACCTGCCACCTTGACCGGGAATCGAACCCACGACCCTTCGGTGTGCGGGCCGGCGCTCTAACCACTGAGCGCACTGGCCAGGGCCTGTGTGGACTCAACCCTGATGGTGGATGGATCCTCTCAGCGGGTGCGCCAACCTGCATTCCCACTGCCATGTTCCCATTGCCCTCGGAGGCATGGAGCAGAGTCTCCCCGGGAGCCAGCCACTGCGCGGAACCCCCCTCGCTGACACCTCGCTTTCAGACTCCTGGCCTGCAGAAGCTTGAAAACATACATTTCTGATGTTCCGAGGCACCGGTTTGTGATCATTTGCTCCAGCAGCCCCGGCGAACCGCAAACCTCATTTCTGGTAAAGCTGAGCATCTTTTTTTTTTTTTTTTTTAAATATATTTCTTTATTGATTTCAGAGAGGAAGGGAGAGGGAGCAAGAGATAGAAACATCAATGATGAGAGAGAATCATTGATCGGCTGCCTCCTGCACGCCCCCCACTGGGGATCGAGCCCACAACCCGGGCACGTGCCCTTGGCTGGAATCGAACCTGGGACCCCTTCAGTCCACAGGCTGACGCCCTATGTCTATCCACTTAGCCAAACCGGCCAGGGCAAGCTGAGCATCTTGTCAGACATGTGCTGGCCGTGTGGGTTTCCTGTTCTCTGAAAGGACCCTTTCTCGGTGTAGAAAAGCTCCCCTCTCCCCATCTGACTGCCGTCCTCGTGTGCACCGACTGGAATCCTATAAATGCGTCTATGGGTTCCTGGACCCTTGGCACAAGGCTACAGGGGCCTGCTGCCCACTGGCTGGGAACCCCGGTCTGCAGGCGTAAATTCCAACCCTTCGCCGTGGGCCTGAGGGTTCTGCACGGCCTCCCCTGGCCAATCTCTTCCACCACATAGCTTTCCCCTCTCCCCACAAACACCCCAGGCCCCGTGACCAGCATCTTCTGGAGCAGCCTCGTCTCTCTTTCCTGCTTCACCCGTGCGGTTCCTCTCCTCTCTGCTCTCCACTCAGCCGCAGTCCCTTCCCACCCTGCAAGACTCACCTCCAGGGCTTCTCCTCCCTGAGCCGCCCTGGCGGTTTCCTGTCCCCACCCCGTGCCTGTACCCCCAGGATGAGTTGGCCGCTCCTCCTCTCTGCTCCCCGAGCTCCCGCGCACACCTCTGACTCGGTCCATGACCTGTGACGCATGAGCACAGTGCTGGGCGCCGGGGGTGCTGTCATGGGGTCAGCCCTGCACGCATCATGCTGTCACGCTGTTTGAGGGCGGGGACTATGTTTCCGTGTTAAGGTCCCGACATTGACGTACATGGGACAGGAGGCCGGGCAGTGGCTTGGTTTTCCCTCCCTCCACCTGCCCTGAAGGGAGTGAGATAACGACATGCAGGGGCACCCTTAGGAGATGACGCCTCAGACCCGACTCACAAGGCCACCCAGTGAGGTGTCCTCCCCTAGAAGACCAACAAAGATGAAGGGGTGGGAGGGCACGGCTGGCCAGGGTTTGGGGTGCAGCCGGCGGCCCCAGAGCGCGACCCAGCTGATGAGTTAAGTCGGTGGCCTGTGCTTAACTCGGGAAGCCAACCAGCCCTGATGTCTTCACCTCCATTTCCTCCCTCTGGTTCCAAGCGGTTCAGGCGGCTGGACTACAAGTCCTGAGCTGTAGAGAGAGGGAGAAGGGACAGGCTGGGGTCACACACTCCGCCCCCAGACCAAGTGGTCCTGCTCCCCACTCATCACTAACTGTCTCCGTGCACATGCCGCGCCTTCTCCTAGTCCTTCCTTTACACCCACCGTTAGGCCCCTCACGGTCAATGTCAGGTGTTAGGCCGGGGGCTGGGGTCACAGGGGTGAAGAAGACTGTCCCCCTGCCCACAGGTGCCCTCAGACTAGCTGGGGAGGTGGACACTGGAAAACACCACACAGAGATCATCCTGCAAACAGTGAGGGCCCCCCTGAAACCGCTGAGTTTCCAGGGCTTCCAGCCCGGCAGGCAGACCACACACACACATACACACACGCGCACACACACACACGCACACACACACACACACACGCACACACACACACAGGCAGCGTGGCTGTGAGCAAACACGCAGAAGACACGGACCATAAAGTAATAAACAGAGGGCCGATTAAAAAATGGATTGCTTGAAGGTCGAGGGCAAGCCTCCTTTTTTATGGATATTGCAGGAAGATAAGCAGTGGGCGTCCTCGCCCAGGACGGGTGTGGTAAGGAAGAACTTCGGAAAGGGGCAGGGACGCAGGGTGGGTGGGGGTTCTGACTGTTTGGCACAACAACTGGGGAGAAAGTGGGAGTCAGGCTGAGGAGGAGGGGGAAGAGACGGGCCGGGGTGGCTGAGCTGCGGGAGGGGAGGGGACAGGCAGGGCTGCCGAGAAGCCACCTGCTGGGGAACGAGGATGCAGGTGGGGGAGCCAGACCGGCCCGGGGTGGACTCCCAGCCCCAACACTGGTATGATTTGGGCAAGTTCCGTATCTAAGCGTTGGCTCCCTCGCCTTTAAAGTCTGGCCAATGGTAGTACCCACATTACAAGGTTGTTGGATCAAATTAGATAAGGCTTGTCAAACACTGAGATCTACACTGGCCTGGGGCACACGGTTATCACTGAATAAGCAAACTGACTGTGATGACGTTGACATGACAACAACAACAACAACAAAGGATGGAAGGCAGCCTGCACACGGAGCACCCTGAGGGCATCTGCTCTCCTCCAAGGCGGGTGGCACGGGCTCCCTGTGTCCTCCCCACCTCCCCCCATGGGCTTCTCTCCCCCAGACTGCGTCCCACCTGCTAAATCAGCAGAGAAGTGGGGGACCCACGGTCAGCATCCCACCCCTCTCTCTGCCACTTTCCAGGTGCTGGGAACCCCAAGGCCCTTGATGCCCGGATGCCAGGCCACCCATGTGCTCCTCTGCCCACGGGCCCTGAGGCTCTCTGTGGCCTTGGGAAAGGAGGGACAGGGCAGAATGCTGTCCGAAGCCCACACTCCGTGCTCTCTGGGCAGCCACCCACCCAGAGGTCAGCGGCTGAGGTACATGAGTCACCCGGGAGCTGAGGGTGGGGTGAGTGCCAGTGGTCTATCACCACCAAGTCACCAGGGCTGGGCCTTGCAGACTCACCCCTCCCTGCTCTGCCCCGCCTGTTGATTCGAGCAGGAGAGATGCATCTGGGTGGGGGTTGGGGGTGGGGGTGGGAGGACATGCTTCCTGGGATATCCCAGGGAGCCAGGGGTACACAGTTGCAGCCCAGTAAGTGTTTGTTTAATCACGGGGGAGCCCCAGCAATTCCTAGAGCCTGAGTCAGGACTCTGAGATGGGAGCCAAATTCCCATAAGAGAGCCCTGAGGAGGCCCTTAGTGCTGCCCAGGAGCCATTTTCAGGGAAGTCTTTCAACTCACGCTATACTAATGATTAACGTTATGCACACACACTCACACTCACACACACACACACACACACTCACACACATACACACACACACAAACTCACACTCACACATATGCATGCACACACTCACACACACACACACACACACGCTCACACATACACACACACACAAACTCACACTCACACACATGCATGCACACACTCACACACACACACACACACTCTCACACACACACACACTCACACATGCTCACACACACTCTCACATACACACACACGCTCACACACACACACAGTTTACAAAGCATGAGAAGCTTTATTAAAGCGTGTTGTAAACGGTAAAGAGTCAGATACATCTAGAATGTTTATTTATTTAAGCGTATAAACAGAAATACCCCGAGATAGGCCGCTATCTCTGTGGCTGGCAGAGAGGCTATGGAAATGGCCCAAGATCTCACTGTGTAGTGTTGTATCACACCACACAGTTTAATAAAAAATTTACTGAGCCCCAAGTTCCGGGCGGGGGGCAGGGGAGGTGGGGGCCGCTTAGAAAAGAGCAGGCAGAGCCTCCTGGAGGAGCCAACAACCTGGAAGGAGGGGGCACCCAATGCCCCCCCAGCCCTGTGAGACGCCCTGTTCTCACCCCACCTTCTCTCCCTGCTCTACCACTTCCTGCCGAATCTCATAGCCTCCCTCAGCTTCAGGGACCACCAGGACCACAGCTCAGCCCCTGGCTCTCCGGAGCTGGACCCCAGCCCCACGGCTCCTCTGAACACTAGAGCTGTGGACTCCAGTGCCTCCTGCACCCTCCCCGCAGGGGTCTCCCAGCACCACCAGCCCACAAGTCCAAGGCTGAAACGCCCTCCTCCCCACCAGCTCAGCATCCTCACCCCTGCCTCAGGTGTGGCTCCTCCATTTAGGTGTCATCTTTGCGGTCCCCCCGCCCCCAACACACAGCCAATCAATTGCCAGGTCCTGCTTATTTTCCTCCAAAACATTCTGAAATCCAGCCCTTCCGCTCCTCCTCATGCCTCTCTCCCAGGTCAGGCCCGAACTTCTGCGTAATAATCTCCTGACAGTCTTACCTCCCATGTCCCCATTCTTATGTCCCACGAACCCATCCTCCTTGCAGCCAATCTGTACAGGTCCCTCCCTGCCTCAAACCCTTAAAACCCTCCAATGGTTCCTCTCTGCAGGGGTGAAGTCCAAGTTCTTCTTCTTTTTTTTTTATCCTCACCTGAGAATATTTTTCCCATTGATTTTTAGAACGAGTGGAGGGGAGGGGGGGGGAGAGAGAGAAATATTGATGTGAGGGAGACACATCGATTGGTTGACTCCCACACACGCCCTGATAGGGGCTGGGGATGAACCTGCAACCCAGGGACGTGCCCCTGACTGGGAACTGAACCCGTAACCCTTCGGTGAGAGGGGCCGATCCTCTAACCACTGGTCGTACCAGCCAGGGCCCAAGTTCTTTAATGAGACTCCCCATGATATGACCATTCGACCTTTACAGTCTCTTCTCTGGCCAATCCATGCCTTTCCTGCACAGAGGCTGTCCTGCCTGTAGGACCAGCTTCATGAGTGTGAGATCTATGCAGGGCCCTCTTGAAATTCTTCCTATTTTTTAGCAAGGGCCCTACACTTTAAAAAATATATATTTTTAAAAATTGATTTTTAGAGAGAGAGGAAGGGAGAGGGAGAGGGAGGGAGAGAGAGAGAGAGAGAGAGAGAGAACGAGAGAAGAGAGAGGTGAGAGCCTAACATCGATCAGCTGCCTCCTGCAAGCCTCCTACTGGGGATGGAGCCTGCAACCTGGGCATGTGCCTGACAGGGAATCGAACCAGCAACCTTTCCTTGCGTGGGAGGATGCCCAACCCAGTCACACAGGCCAGAGCCAGGGCCCTGCATTTTCATTTTGCACTGGACCCCACAAATTATATTGCCAGTTCCCTGCGCCCCTCTTGCAGTTTGTGGCCTCCAAAGCTTTGTCTGTACAATCCCCTCCACCCGAAACACCCCTCCACACATCACCCCTCTTTCTGCAGCTCTTCCTTTAAGATTCAATTTAGGCGCTGTGCTTGGGATGCCTCCCTTGGCCCTCTTTCCTCTCCTTCCCTGTCCTAATGAGCACGGAGCAGGTGCTCAACACACGTCTATTAGATCAACTGAATGGGAAGGCAACGTGTGACAAGTGCTAGAAGACAGTTACAAACTACGAGAAACAGTGAAACGAGGCAAGACGGGGCGAAGGCAAGTCTAAAGGCCTCCGGTTCGCCAAGGCGGCGCTAGGATCCTGCCTGCAGATGCATTAATCTGTGCTCAGAGGGTTCCACGTGGCTGCGACCAGCTCTCGGGCGCCGCCTGCCGCGATCGTGCCGCCGCTTCAGCTCTTTCTGGCGCCCCGCCCCTCCCCGGCCCTGAGCCCGCCTCGCACCTCCCATTGGCTGGCTCCTGTTCTCCCGCCCCTCCTCGGCTCAGCCATTCGGAGCCCGGGGGTGGGTGGGGCTTGAGGCCAGGGGTGGAGCGAGCGCCCCGATTGGCTCCGAGGAAAGCGGCGACGTGGCGGAGGAGGCCGGTTTGGGCCTAAACTGAAGCGCTGCCGCCCGGGCGCTGGATTGGTGGTAGGCGGGGCGTGCTGGGTCGTCGGCCGGAAGCTGAAGCGGAGGAAAGATGCAGGTGGGGGAACAGGAGCCGAGAAAACGGGGGGCTCTCCCGGGACCCCTGGGTTCGGTTCCGCC